GGGGGAGGGAGGGGGGGGGGGGGGGGGAAGCAAGCCTGGCTGGGGATGCAGCCCAGTCTGGAGGGAAGGGGGGAGGGGATTACTCCCCCCCTCCCCCAGGCTAACCCCAGCTGGGGGCTGGGGTCTGGGAGGGGGCGTTGAACACCCCTTCCCCCACTCAGACTTACTGCTGGCTGCAACTGTGGACTACAAATCCCAGAGGCACCTGGAAGTAGGAAAAGGAAATGATAAACAACCCTGCAGTGTCTTGCTGCTATGATTTTGGACTGCAAAATCGCAGAGACCTCAGGCACAGCAGGAAGAGGAAGCAAACACATAGCCCATGCTGGCTGCATGCCAAAGAGCCATGCTCTAGTGCCTCCTTGCTACTGGCCTGAACCACTGCAGGCATGTGGTTGCATTTCTTGAATCAAAGGTAAATGTCTGTTCACTTCTGTTTCAATCTGCAGCTTAAATTAACCTGCAAAGACTGAATCAATTCAGCCTTGGGCTTTTTGACTGTCTGTACTTAGCCCCATAGATGTCACTGGAACCCTTGTCTTACAGGGTCACACACCTGCCATTTCCTGGGTGTCAGGAGCCCAGGTACTGGGCCCTGAGGAAGGCGCCCCCCTGCCCCATGGGGGTTCCCCTGCTTATAGATACATACCCTGAGTCAGAACCAACAGACCAATACACATGCCATGGGACTTCCCTACAGAGGATGCCAAGGGTGCATGATCCTCAAGTTGGGAGGGGCAGCAACCTGGTGCACACACTGTAGGAATCTCTTGCAGGGGGATTCACATGGCGTGCAATAAGCAGATGTCCTCCCATTTAAAGCAAGACATACTGTAACCTTTGATCACAGCCACCTCTTCTCTCCAGCCCCAGCCAATGTGAAGTGAGAGGACCTGAAAAAGAAGATAGACCAACTGCCTTCTTACTACACACACATTCGCAGAACATTCCTTCTAGGCACTGTCTCATGTCCCCTGCCATCCTCACACTATCTTCTTCCCACCGATTCAGGGAGTGATGGGATTTTTTACTGAACTTGTTATACTACCACCAACACCCATTTCTGTGATTTCCTCAAAAGAATTTGACCTTAGGATTTCTTCATATGCCTTTTTATTTGATATAATGGGTCTCAAAAGACAACATTTAAACTAAATGCATCTCTGGATACATTTGTAGTTCTAGCAAAATTATTACCAGACAAACATAACAGATACAGCTTCTGTAGCTATATTCTTTTTGCTTTATTTACTCAGACTGCTGTGAATGCACAGAAGCAACAGAAATAATAACAACTAAATTATACTTCATGTTTTTTAAGAATAGATGCAAAAAACAACTTCATTGCTAAAAATATGTAGATTCAAACCAAACACTCTTTTCAGTTGGCCAACATTTACAAATACACATTTGTACCCAAGTAGCCTGGATCTTCTAGCAATTAATCAGAAATCTCAATGCTAACTCAAATGCTGCAAAAATAGTTAATAGGTTTAGAAAGTGTGCAGATTCAAACTACATCTGAAAAGTCTTAATACACCAGAGATTAAACAAAGTCTACCTGCTTCAACTAGTTGTATTAGTTGTGGTCAAGTTTACAGAATTTGTAAACACTGATAATCTCCAGTAAAACACACCATATTATTTGTGCTACTTCTGTAATGCTGTTTACTAATCAGATTTACTGGCCATAATGAGATACACTTGACTTAACATTCATACAATTCACTATGCAACCTCATATATGTATAATATATACGTATTATATTTCATACAGCAATTTTAAATTAATTTGGTTACAAGTGTTTCAAGGCAGGTGTTCTTCTAATCCGTGTCACTACACAGACAAAAACTCGATAGGTCTCTAAGCTCCTTCTACACATTGTACTTATTCCAAAAATATTGTGTTAATCACAGCATTAATGGGTAGTATGCTACACATGTACACAGTTTAAGGCACCATAAAAATAGGACACAAGCCAGAAAAATGTTCCACATAGCGTAGATCGTTTGTATGGCTGGCTTGCATTTAATGTGAGGCTGAGGGTTAACAATCAGCTGATTGTCAGTCTTGGGACCAAGACTGCACTGGGGTCTGGAATGGCCCCAGGACTGACAATCAACTGTTTTCGGGCCCCAGCCAAGGCTGGGGATGGGGGGATAGAAGAAGGGCTTCCCCTGCCAGGCACAGATACTCAGAGGCTCCTGATGGTGGGGACTGATGTCCCTGGCAGGGGAAGCTCTTCAGTTCCCCCCGCAAGAAGCTCTGGTCCCCCCTGCACCTGACAAGCCAGCCAGAGCTGCCAGGCACAGGATTTTAATAATCAGCTGATTGCCAGCCTGGGCCAGACAGACACAGGTCTCAAACTTGGGCTGTCTAGGCCAGGACCAACAATCAGCTAATTGTCAGCTCTGATCCCAGGACTGCATTGGGGTTGAACTGGGCCTGATACAGTCTCTGACCTGAAACCAGTCATCAATCCATTGTCAGCTCTGGCCCCAAAATTAAATGAACGTGCACCACAGTCTTACTTCTATTCTAACAGAAGTCAAAAATTCCCAAATAGAGGCTTTCTAATAACTGTTTCCAACCTGTGTAGAAAAAAAAGAGATACTAGAAGTACAGTTAAGGACAAAGCCATTGATAGTAAGGGATGTCTTGCTAAAATGACCTTGACTGCAAACATCTTCTTAGGCACATTTAGTCTGATATTCAGTAACCACAGATGCTGTTTTCCAGCAATTTTAAAACAAGTCATCACAATGAATTTAATGGAACTTTTAAAGAATAATAATTTAAAATTCAATGCAATTAATATTACTTCATTGTGCAAACCATAAGTGAGAGGCTTTAATGCTTTAAATACCTCTCATGTGAATATTGAATTTAATTAATAAGATACTTGTAGGCTTAAACTTAAGGCTCTGAAAACCACAGAAAAGGTTTTAAAAATCTAGTTGACTTGAAGGCTGAAATCGTGATTACTTTATGTGATTAAATTAGTGCCTTACAAATTACAGCAAACTTCATTCTAGTCACAGAAACTTAGAAATTGCAAGTGAAGTATGCCATATTAAAAGAAAACAAAGTACTGCAGGTAACAACAAATGAAACACTGAAAATAGATGCCTAGTGATACACAAAGATAGAATACACAGCAAAAAAAATTGTTAAACTGATTAAAAATGCAAGTCAGCATTCTTGCAAGCAAGTTATATGGGATACAGGAAAGATATAGTATTACAGTAAAGCAAAGATAAATTTAACAGGCAGAAGCTGAAATAGTGACTTGGGGAAGAGGGAAAATTTAGGAAAGAAATATTGACAGTCTCAAAAAAACTGGATGTGGCACTTTCATTTGTACAAATTGAGGAAGGTGATGTGAAAAAAGGTTAAGATAGCTTGAATGCCCTTGTTTACGCATGTACGTAGTCAACATCCA